AGGAGATCGGGCTGAAACTATAGCTACAAGCTATCCAAGGATGGTACTATAGAATGTCACCTCAAGGTAGGCCTAGTGGCGTCATCTCTTGGTTAGGCCGGAAACTTATCAATCCACCCTCGTATAAACAATCCTTGCAATAAACTATTGCACTATTTTGCATAACTACTTTTATATTTAATTGTTAATTTCTTGAACACCATGTGTATAGGTACACAATTTTCTTTTTCTGTACAATTTTAATATGTTTATATTTCACTATCTTATTTCAAATTATTATTACTCTTTTCGTTTCATTGATTATTAATTATGATAAGATCTTTCTTGCAATTTAAATTTTTTGGTTGATTTCATTTGACGATGAATACTGAATTAAGATAAAAGACAGCACGAAGTCATTGATGTGTTTTCGACAGTTCTCTTACTTTTCCCAGAATTTAACTTTGATTTTAAATTTGTGTGCAGAAATTCCGAAACATTGCTCCATTTTCTGAAAGGCTGCCTGGGTACGGGAATCTTAGCGATGCCAAAAGCGTTCTACCACTCAGGGTATTTAGTAGGTATAATTGCAACAGTTCTCATCGGGGGAATTTGTACATACTGCATTCACATGCTAATTAGAGCAGAATATGAACTTTGCAAAAGACGAAAGGTGCCCAGCTTGACATACCACGAGGTTGCCGAAATAGCATTCCTAGAAGGCCCTCCAAAGGTCCAGAAGTATTCAATATACGCCAAGTAAGTAATAACTTAATTAACGAGAAGTTATATTTTCTTTGAGAAAACGACCAAATGTAGTCAGCTCTGCACTAATTTTAATTGCTATTCAGTATGAAATAACAATTTTAAGGAAATGAAACTACATTGCTTTATACTGTTTCAATTTATTTAGAGTTTTTTCTAAAATTGTTTCAACTTTTTACGCTTTCGTCAAGAGTACTTATCGTTACTTAAATAACCTAAGTAACGAAAATCACTCTAGAGAAAAGCCTAAAAGAAACAATTAACCTTATTTAAATATAGACATGGCACGCTGAAATACCCAAAATTTTCAAAATTAAATTCCAATGACTGACCAGTTATAACGTAGTATTTTCTTAGTAATCCCTTTGTATGTATGTATGTATGTGTGTATGAATATTTGGACGTATGTGTGTACGTTATCGTAAACTACAGTTACTATACAATTAATTGCAATGACTCTGACTTCTTCGGCATAAACATTTTAACATTATTATTACATATTTTCCGCCCAGCACCTCCGCCGTACCTTTTCAACATGATTTCTAAATAAGAAATTCATAGTGGTCAGCGTTCTGCCGAAACTGCCAGACGCGGATCGCGATTTAGATCTTGTTGGATCTCATCAGTGCGTCGCAGGCAGTTTCGACGGAACAGAGACTAAAACCCCTCCTCGAGTAGGGAAATCAAGCAGAAGGTTTTACATCCCAGAGAAGGTTCGTTAGGAAGGTTGGGAAAGGAGAGTGGGATGAGTGGAGAGGGAGAGTGTTTTGGGGGGAGGAATGGTGTGGACGAAAATCGGTGTCCAACCTCAGTAGGGTGGACACTCGTGCTAAAGAGCGAAACTAAACTTGAAAAAAACGTGAACAGCTGAGAAGAGAAGGCGACAGAACCTTCTGAAACAGCCGTTTGGTGTAGGGGCGAAGTCGGAAAGTGTCGAGATAGACGGGTTTAAATGAGCTGACACTGAGGCCCTGAGATTTGTCGCGAATCTGGTTGCAGCCTCGGGGAGTGAAGGTAGACCAGTTTCTTTTAAAAATTGGGTGTTTCCGGAACCATGGCTAGTTCTAGCTGCATGTAAGTGAGTTGGAGAATTAATAGGCGGCGAGGATCGGTGCAACCCCAGATGGGGAAGAAGCACACACTAACTCTACCTACTGCCTCGAGACAGGGTTTTGAGAAGTACCAGAAACGACATGGTGAACGCCATCTGTGACTTCAGTACACATTTAGTGGAAATCAGTATATTCAATAAGATCCATTTATCTGAATCTCATCCATTTCATGGTGGTCAGCGTTCTGTCAAAACTGATAGAACCTGATCGCGATTTCGAACTTTTTGGATCTCATCAGCGCGTCTCAGGTAATTTCCAATAAGATCGAAATTACGATCTGCGTCTGGCAGTTTCGACAAAACACTGACCACTATGGACTTCTTATTTACGTATTTCAATTTTGTTACGTACCTACCACTTAGGGGTGAGCTGCGCCGTAGATTCAGTTCAACAAATAGATAACCATCAACATAAATGGACCTTGTTATTGAATATACTGATTTCCACTAAATATACACTGAAGACATAAATGGAGAGAGAGGACTTCATAATTGGCTTTAATAAAATGCTTTGCACGAGAATCTGGCTTAGATTGTAGTGGACAACATTTCTCTGATTGATATATATGAAGTGATATGCACTATAGGTTAACGGTAGGTTATAGTGGGAGAAGATTGACTGATTGATTGGTGAGTGATAATTCCCGGGTTGACATCTCTAAGTTCGTTTATGGTGAGAGAGTACTTGCTGATTGGTATTCAGTGTGTAAATTGCTTTGCACAATGGTTTAGATTAGCTTGTAATGAACAAGGTTTCCCTGATTAATATGTGTGAAAAAATATATGGAATAACCTTAGGTTATAGTGGGAGAGGATTGCTTGATTACCTTGTGTGTAGGTTTCTTTGACTGACATACATAGAGTGCTACGCGGTGGAGATAAGCGATATACGCCAAGGGCTTTGTTTAGGTAATGGTATTAGGGAATTGCCATCGACGTTTACATATGGACATGCCTTAGCGGTCAGAATTGTGGTACAACAAAAGAAAGAGATGGAACGAAGTTTCGGACAATATCCATCTCTTTCACGATAGTGCGTAAGCGTGTCATGAAAGAGATAGTACTAGTCCGAAACCTTATGCCATCTCACTCACTTTACGAGCCAAGAAATTATTACAACGGCATACGGCCAAGGCACGTCCATTAATATATGTCTATGGAAATTGGTATGATTAAAATGTATATGCTATGAACCATCGACAAATATGTATGGATTCAACTAGTCATCACCATCAGAAGATTGTCAGCTCTAAGATTGGTTGGACACGCACCTCCACTTTTTCCCATCCTGGTTCAATCTTCGCATTTTCCTAAATGTAGGATATCTCACATTCGTAGTTATCTGTGAATCTAATCTAGACCTACCTATACTCCTCTTAACTTCTGCTTCTGATATGTCTAACTAGCCCTTCATGCTTAAAACCAACCTATCTCGCCTATTTCTTATTGACTTCCATAGCGTCCTCTGTTCTCCTATTCTTTCAAATACCTCCTCATTCAGCCAGTATATTCATATTTTTTTTCAATGTCAACTTTTATTGTTCTGTTACAGACATGCTGTAAATATATTCCTGTTAATTTACCAGCTCGGGATATGCTGTGTTTACGTGGTTTTTATTGGAACTAATGTGAAAAGCGTATGCGATACCTATTTTCCTGAAATGAGCGTGTCGATTTACATGCTCATGTTTCTGTTGCCCTTGATATTAATTAACTGGGTGAGAAATTTGAAACGATTGGCGCCTTTCTGTACTGCTGCAAATGTAATCACGCTAATTGGATACGCTATAATTTTTTACTACATCATTAGGAATAAACCTAGTTTCGACAATAGGTCACCTACTGGACAATACGATCATTTTCCTCTATTTTTTGGTACCGTTTTGTTCTCCCTGGAAGCTATAGGAGTGGTAAGTAAGCATTTTATTTAATGTGGCAGTAGAATTCTAAAATCTAACAAACCAAAATATATACCGAATATTCATATGAGCGCTCTCTTACTGTCAATGAACTTTCTGTATTTTGTCTTTCCATACAAAATGTATAACGATGTTACCTTTGACATCATTTTTCTTTGTATCAATTTGTATTGCTTTTATTTGTTTTTTCTTCCCTTTTTAGATGTAGTCAAAGTACTCCATAGTATTTATATATACTTATATTATTATCACAGTTTCTCTTGGGTACTCAAATCATCAAGTGTTCTAACTAAGAGACTTGTTACTTTCTCATAATGATTATAAATGCCATCTGATTAATTCTAAAGGAAGCTACACTACTGTAAATCATTTTCGAACATAACCACTTAGGATAGGATAAACCATTCTACAAGTGAATATGTACCATCATTCTTTGCTTTTCCTTGTCTATTTTCAAATAAATATATTCCTGGTGATACGGAAATTAAGAAGTTTTGAGCGAATTAAAGCAATAATCAGATCACTTTTGGCCAAGAGCTACCTAATCGATTTTCTTGTTATTTGCCTTACAAAGGGTTTCTAGACGTCCAGGATTTGCTCAGTTGCCCCAAAATTTATTACTATGTCCCTTTTCCAAAGTGTCATATTCTTTTATTTAAGGGATAACATAATAACAATATTTCATACCTTAAAAGTTTCTATTACTGTTATAAATTTTATTTCTTTCACCTTACGGTCATCAGTGGCCTACCATTTCTTATGGAAATTTGCACGTAAAACGGCAAAAATAAAACCCAGCTCCTGTTCTACAATCTCTGCACTAACTGTGTTCAATTGGTAGGTTCTTCAAGAGAACAGAATAATCTACAATAAAACGAAATTGAAAAAGAAGCTGCCAGTTGCAATATTCACATTTAAAAACAACGGCTAATAACCGAATTAAACAACGATTTAAAAAGAGAATGGGATGCCTGTTTTTTTAATTTCCTTTACAAAGATTTAGGAAAACCAAGACATAGGAATTTTCAACCCTTATTTCACTATTTGCCTGAAAAATAAATAAAATTTAAAATTATTGCATTGTCAAGGATGGGTGGAAACGGTAACATGATATGGGTATTATTTGATTCTTATGCCCAGTGGTTTCTTCTACGTTTTTGTTGAGTTAATTCACTTTAATACCGAGTCGAAACTTAAATTTAATATTTATTTTTAAATGAGTCATATGCGTAGACGAATTTTTTTCTAATTGTAGATAATGCCATTAGAAAATGAGATGAAATCTCCTAAAAATTTTGCAAGACCATTTGGAGTACTAAATATTGGTATGGGATTGGTGGTTAGTATCTATTTGATCATGGGCTTACTAGGCTACTTAAGTTATGGTGCTGACGTTGAACCGGCCATTACCCTAAATTTACCACCTGATGACATGTAAGACATAACTTTTATTATTTTAAATATTATATCCGACAGAAT